TCACTTATTTCAAACTCAAATTCTTCCTTTGTCATTTTTAAAGCCAGTGACTTCTTCTTCTTATCAGCATCCTCCTTCAGCATGGATAGTCTTCCTTCATGCTCGGTAAGACTTCCGAACAGAGCTGCCACAGATGTCATGGAGTCACTTTTTGCTTCTTCAATGGCAGTACTTTTGGGTTACCATTCAACTAAGAGACCTCTCATAATTTTTTTGATTTGCTCCTTCTGAGTATATGCCTTTCCAAGTGCTGCAAGCTCGTTCATCATGTGTGTGTATCTAACTTGTATGTCCTTAATGTTTTCTCCAGGCTTCATCTTCAACAACTCATATTGCTAAGTCAAAGTATTCATTTTATTCTCCTTGACTCCTTCAGTGCCTTCATGAGAAATCTCTAGAGCATCCAACTTCTCTTTTACAATTTCTAGATTACTCATTTTGAAATATTCTTATTGACTCAAGGTACTTGTAATAATCAATTTTACCTTAAAGTTGAGCAGCATTATCTTTTCTTCCTTTTTTAGAAATTCACTCCTTTCTTTTCTTATAAATTGTCCTTCTATAGTTTTGTATGGAATATAAGGACAAATCTCAACAATCTCTCATAAATCAAGGTTCGAAGCCTCAAAGAATAATCTCATCTTACTTTTCTAGAAAGTATAATTTTCACTATAGAATCCTGAAAGCCTACTAATTTTAGCACCTTTAAGGAGAACAATGTCACCAAAACTAGCTATAGGATCATCTTAGATTGTTAAGTCTTTTATCAAGAATTCAAACTCTGATACCAAATGTTAGGATAGGCTAGCACCCAAAATAAGAGTGAATTAGGTGACACTTAAAAAATTTTAAAAACTTGAAAAGAGTGAAGAGCTAAAGAGTGAAGGAAAAAGATAACACGCGCAAGATTTATACTAGTTCAGCCACAAACATGGCCTACGTTCAATTCTCAAGATCACACTTGAGATTTTTAACTAAAATCACAAGATTCAATGGCTACTTGCCACCACAGTACAATTCTCAAGACTAACCTTATATTGATTCACTTAACAAACCTTACTACAATCCAGCAAGTTATTGCAAACACTTGAAAAATTCCTTTTCAAAATTTTTAAGAAAATAAGAAGCTTTTTACAAAAAAACTCTCTTAAAGAGTAGATGAAAATACAAATGAAAGCTTATAAACCTTTGAGAGCTTTTCACAATTTTTTTTCAAAAATAATGAATGAATGCAAGAAGTAAAAGCACAATTTGAAAGCTCTTTAAAATGCATAAATAATAATTCATTTGCTCAAAAATCATTAGTCCTTGATCTAGTTCAAAATGAATCACTTATATAGTTTTTGGAAGTTGAAAGACTGTTGGAACAGTGATTTTATCTGTAGGTGCATTTTCTTGTGAGTGATTGATATAATCATGGGTGATTTTGCACTGAAGTAGTTTTAGAGAACTGAATGTGATGAATCACGCATGAACACCTTGTCCTCTCACTCGTGGTTTTTCACTTCTAAATAACTATTCAGTTCTATGTGCCAAAACTCGCATGGTACCTTATTGCTCTCTTATGTATTTTAGCACTTAAGAATGCACATTCAGTTCTGGGTGCTAAAACTCGCGTGGTATCATATTGCTTTCTCACGTGGTTTTGCACTTATGAATATACTAATATATCATAGTGCTAAAACTTACGAGTACACCATTTACTTACATGGAACCAAAATGTTATCACGCATGAAATTGCAAGTATTAATACATAAACTTTTCTTATGCATATTCATGTGTGGAACAATGCATAACTTAGGCAAGATTTTACATGATCAAGAGATATAGATTTGTGAATCAATGATCATACATGTGAACAATTTAGCTTGGCTTGAGAAGATAAGACTCAACAAAACAAAGTGTAATTGTTCAACAAGTAACAAATCACACGTGGTTTTGCACTTTGTCATAATATTATGAAACACAAATGCTAAAACTTAAGTAGATAATAAAACCTTTCACGAGTGGTTTTGCACATAAAGATAAAGCTTAAGATAACATATAACACAAGTGCTCAATCACGCATGAAGTACTTCTTTACACTCGCATGATGTAGCTGTCAATATGTGCCTAACATGCAAAAACTCATGAGTAACCTATAGAATCATGTGTGATTCTGCTTCTCACCATGCAAACATTATTTATGAAAAACCATACGCAAGAAGGACATTTTTTATAAGTTTTAACATACTTAGATGAGTCTTAATGCACATAAAAAAGACATATGATGCATTCATTTTATGATAAGAAAAGTGATTAAGCTCTCTAAATTTTCACATTAAATCTAAGAAGATTGAAATTATTTATCCTAAACTTCTTCATCTTCTCTTGATTCTTTACATTCTTGAGGTTTTGTCTTCATTCATAATTCTTTATATCTACACATATAATAAATACATTTTTTCTTGGTTTTGTAATCATCAAAACACATGATCCAACAACACATACATAGACTATCATTTTCAATATTACCTAAACCTTACTGTGGACAATGAGCCCATTTGTTTTAATTTATTTCATAATTTTTTAATATATTTGTTTAAACCTTTGAAAATAATCAGAATAAAAAAAAATATTTTTTATTATTTTAAGAATATACTTTGAATAATTTCTAAAAATAATGTATGAGAGTGTTTTAAAGAGTCAGTTTACACAAAAATACTATAAAATTGTAAAATAATATAATAATAAATTATTTTTATTAAACAAGAATTAAGGAAAATATCATAAAAATTAAAAATAACTAGTTAATAATTACTTTTTATTATTGTAACAAAACATAAAATAATGTATACTTTTTATAAAATTTCTACAAAATAAATTGCTTTTTATAATATCTCTAAACTATCTAAAATTCACTTATTTTTTAGTTTTAAACAAATAGGCCCAATATCTTTAAAACATTGAGTTAATTTTACGACTATTTTAATAAGTATAACTTAATTACATTTAATCATTTTTAAAGGCTGGATATGGTTTGTATATTTAATTAATGTAGCCAATACTTTTATTTAATTTATTTTATCAGTACTTAACTTAAAAGTTATCAATTTTCTTAAAAAATAAATGTTTCTTCTAACTATTTTTAACAATTATTATTTTGATGCCAATCCCCTCTGCATCTGTTAATGCATGACAGGTTAATAATTACATGCCGTCTTTTATAATGCCAAGACTCATCACAACCCCATAATTATATAAATAATTGTCCATGATTGCCTGTTCTACTAGTTGGGATATATGCAATCCTACTCAGTTCAATTACTTCGAGATCCACCCGATGGGCCAAAAGACTTGCAAGATAGAGATGAAGTTGGGTTGCCAAGACACAGTTTTGATTATTTTATTTTATTTTATTTTATTTTATTTTTGGGCCAACGAAGACTAAAGAACATTCAGACATGAGTAAAAAAGTTATTTTCATTTATGTTATCAAAATAAGTATTTTCACTCAATAATATTTTAGATTTTTAATTTTTTTAATTATTATTATTTAATTATTTTCGCATCCCATACATTACATAGGCCATATATTAGTTACTCCTGATACTGGATACATCAAATTAAAATACAACAAAATTAGAAATGTACATTCCAAGTCTTCAATATATCACCTCATAAAAATACAAAATTTTCAAACTTCAAAGCAGCTCTGGTTTTAAATCGTCCCACTTTCCTTTAGCAGCATAGGTTTTAGCTTCAAAATCCTTTGGCATATGATCCAGAATCATCCACTCTCAGAAATCATCAAAAGCATTAGAAATTTCATCAAAAGAAGTTGGGAGGTCACTCTGGAACACGTCCATAGAGAAGCAAATCGCTGTGCTGATCTTCTGACCCATAAAGCCTCCAGCGAACATTTTGATACTACTTTATTTGATGACACCCCGATTGATTGTAAAAGCATCATGTCTTCTGATATGATCTAACCTTAGTCTATTTGCATAGTAGTTTTTTTATCATGGCCTTGTATTAAAAAAAAAATTCCTTTGGCATAATTCCCATCCAACATCACAAGACACAAGCCCTCTCAAGTTTCGATATGCTCTCATTGACTGTATGTTATCAAAATTTGATTCACAGAACAGTTGCGAATGCTTGATCTGGGTTAATGTGCTTTGTCTTTTTCTTTTCTTTTTTTAAGTTGCCCACCTGAGATTCGAATCTTTACCCTAACTAATCCAAACTCAACCCGCATCACACATCTAACTATGATAGGTGAGTCTCCCAACATAAGTTTTCTGCATAAACAAGGCTTGGATCCAACCCTACTTAAGTGAAACCGAACTGCTTACCACTCAAAATCAAGTGGTTTTGTCTTTGTTTTTTTTTTTTTTATGCTGTTCCGTTTGTGTTTTTTTTTCGTTTTGGGCTATATTCTTTGCTTACTCCGCTGTTTTGATTATGCCTTGGGCCTCTTTCTCTACCACAAAAACAGTTTGGTAAAGAAGCCATCCCAGCATATTCAACAACACAGTGTGGCCTCTCTTCACATAATCACGGGCATATTTAACTATATTAAGACCATGTTCATCTCTAAGAACACACGTGATCCTATTTCTCCTGCATAAAGAGCCTTTCATAAAAGAAAATCATAAACGGAAGGATCAATTTGCCACAAATAAAGTCAATGAGTCTAAAGTTCATAACTCTACAAAGAAATAATAAAAAATGAGAATTTTGGGAAGCCTGATAAAATTAATAATAACTTAGAATAAAATAACCATGGAAAACTCATGCTTTCGAAAAGGGAACATGCTGCCACCGGATAAATTACCAGAGCGCAGATTTCTCCAGAAGACCCTTAATTTTTAGCTACATTAGCGTACTTTCATTTTATTTAATTCATCGTTCCAAGTTGTTCTTTAATAGATGGCTTCAAAAACTGAAAAAACATGACTCCAAAACTTGTTTTAATAATGATTATTCTAAAGAGGAAAGAGTAGGAACAGAGCATATAATCAACTAGAGATAGCAATAAATTTCTGACATGAATACGGAGGCTAATACCAAGACTTCAAAGATACGGAAAGGCCAATCTGCAAAATTGGCATCCCAAAATGTTGACAAAAAATGCTGTCATGGCAAATGAAAGAGTTATAGAGATATTAAAGGCCAATCAATAAAAGGTCGATCTGACTAAATTTCCATCGTTATGAACTCATTAATTGTCTTTCAGCATCTAACTCTGTTGGCTAGGATCATCATTTCAAGGACTCCAGGCTTTTCTCATTTTTTAGCAACATACCATTGGTTGTGAAGGGATGCTTATGTTTCTACTCAATGGACCACCACAATGCTAAATCATATAACGAAGACCATATTGATAATACCGATAAAATGGATACCCGTGTTTAAAACCGTAGTCCTTGGCAAAGAAAGTACAAATTATGTATGGGAAATTATACATGGAAAATCACAGCAGCAACCCCATTTTTGTTGTGACACCTACAAATAAAAATAATAATAATAATCAAGAAGGGACATCATAACGTAAGAAAAGATTTCCAGGACACTATGCTGCCATTGAAGCTTGAACACCCAAAAAGAAAGAAAGCAAAAGGGGAAAAAAAAACAAGAAAAGAAAGAAAAGAAACTAAGAGACAGAGAAAATATTAATCTTGAACAGGGTATGACTTAAGTATGGTCTCAAATCAAGCTTAAAAGCCAAGGAAGTAAAACAATCTGCTAGAGAACCGAAAGATGCAGATGTTACAAGGAATCCTTCCAAATTTAACATATAAAGCTTTTGTAATCCTGAAATAAATCAACGCATTATTAAAATGGAAGAAAAAGAGATGGATGTGAAAAAAATTCTGGTTAATACCTTCAAGGAAAGACAGATACTGAAAGACAACAGAAGAAAAAGGCGAACTGACTCTACTAATCAACAAAAATTAATTTCAATACAAAGAGAACAAAACTCTTCAATTTTAATTTTTCTCCCACAACTCAGATTCGATCAAGACTCCTATCATCAAGTGAGCAAGCATCTACCAAACACCCAGTTTTTGCCTTTAATTTATTTCTTCACAATTCAATATTACATAATCAATAAATGCAGTAAGTGGCATCAATAGACTCGACCAAGTGACCATTCATGTAGCATATAAGGTTTTATAGAAAACCCTAAAATGATAAACCAAACCTCTCAGACAACTTCACACAAACACAAAGGGCGGAAAAATAAAAGATTTCACCTTGAAATTCACCCAATAGGCTTACTAAAAAGAATGAGAAAGAAACCTAGAAATCAAAATCCCCCACTTCTCAAGAGTTCAATCTTGATACGATGAAGTTAGTAATGGTGAAGAGAAGGTAAGCAGGAGCAAGGAATCATTACCTGTAGTTTATTGCTTGATTGCTTCCTTTTGAACCTCTCCATCATCTCATCCTCTATTTACTCTTCAAAATCATGTTACTCAGACCTTCCGTCCTCTTGGCTTTCATCCATTGTCATATATATTCAAAACGTTTTCCTTCAGAGAGATTGAAATTTAAAAAAAAAAAAAAAAAAAAAAGTCCTATTGCCTTAATCCTAGAGTCCTTGGTCACTTCTCCATCTTTATAATTCTGAATCGCATTGCATCACTGCCCCTGCTCTTCTTGTAGCCAGGCTTTTGTGCTTCTCTATAAAACGACAATGATAACAGAAGGATTTTTTAGGATTTGTACAGGGGATGATAGCTTTGTACCGGGGTTGATTGAACGAAGTAGTAGTTGAAGTGTCCAATTCAATAAAAACAGCTACTTGTTTTAAAAAAAGAATAAATAAATAACAGTCTGAAAATCCTGAACTGCCTCTGTCCTGATGAACTATTAATTAAGAGATGTGGAGGATTGTATGATTTGCATGTCTTTAAAATGCCAAAACTACTTCTGTTACTGTTCATAAGAGGAACTTTTTGGAATAGTTTTCCACCAATATCTACAAGGTACTTGTCATTAAGTAGAGATTATCTATTTAATACAGCACCCTTAGGCAGGTTTTGAAGCATCAATGCCCTTGTTTTGCCATCAGGTTGAAGACCACTTTCACGCATTTTACTGTAGATCTTATTAGCCAAATTAATCTTGCCCCGTAAGCACATCCCTTGAACAGCAGCATTATATAGAGATACATTTGGTGTGGGCGCCTGCAAAAGGAACAAACAACATAAAGGTAAGAAATAAAGAATATACTTGAGTCAGATTGAGGAAAGAAGATGATTATAGTGTTAAAAGAAGGTAAGTGATATTTATTCAACAAACTGTTTTTAGTTGATAAATATTTTTACCCACATTTAGAATTTCCTCCAATTCTTCCCAGAGATCTCCCCAAATGCAACATCTAATCAAAGATAGATATGTAAATATATCTGGCTTGCACTTCTGGTAAACCATATGCTCATACACCTGCAATGCAATTTTTGGCTTCCTTGCACTTTCACAAGCTCTAATAACAAGATTATATGATACAGTCAAGGCAGACAGTCGAGCTTCCATTTGATACAAAATCTGTAAAGCTCTATCCCATGACCCAAGCTTAGAGCAAGACACTAAAACAGTGTTGTACAAATGTACATTCAATTGACACATTTTGTTTTCTTCAATCTTTTCAAAAAGTTGAAGAGCGTCAAAATGCCTGTTAGCCTTGTTAAGAGCGCTCAATAAAGCATTAAATGTATATGCATCTGGTTTATGGCCCAGCAATATCATGACATCATAGGCCTGAAATGCTAGTTTGAGTTCCCCTGCTTTTCCCAGTGAGTTAATTAATGCATTGCATGCAACTAAGTTTGGATGAAGCCCTTCAATCCTCATCTTCTGAAAAACACGAAGTGCAGCATCCCAATTTCCCTCCTTAGCACATGCACTAATGATAGCATCCATTGTACCGGTGCTAGGTTCAAATCCATTTTGAACCATCTCATTGTAAGCATCAAAAGCTAGCTCAACCTGACCACACTGTACAAAACTGCTAACCAGCAAGTGGTATGTGACTTGACTACCTGCACACCCTCTTACCTTCATGCTCCTCCAAATTCTCTCAATTTCAATCCATTCATGAAATTTTCCACAGATTGAAATCATGGTGTTGTAAACAACAGCATCAAAATCTTTCTCAATGTCATATTCACTTTCTGATGCTTTGAAGAATTCAAAGGCTGAATGGAAGCCTTGGGCATTTGCATGTCCGGTAAGCATCAAGCTATAAGTATGCCCAGTAGTTATCTTTTTTCTTCTTGTGAAATCAAATGCTTTTAAGCAATCTTCAAACCGTCCATTTCTCACAAGGGAAGATATAAGAGAATTACAGGCATGTATAGTAGGACAAAGACCCACCAATTCCATGGATCTGAAATATTCAAAAGCACTTTTGATCTTATTATTTCTACTAAGAACCAGAATCCGATCAGACAGTACAGTCTGATCCACTTCCTCTAAAAGATGCACTTCAGGTTCATTAATAAGGTCCCTATCCTTTGAAGCTGTCAAGGGATTCTCTGTGGCTCTACAATCCTTTTGCGACTCCTCATTTTCCACTTCTTCAAAGGGAGGAAATTCCTTCTGATGCATGAAAGATGCATCAAATTCTCCTTCTTGAGTATATCCATCTTCTTCTTGACCCTTACACAAAAAAATATCAAAACCAGGAACAGCTTCATCCGATGTTGGGGTTTTATCAAATCTTGTTTCTTGACTTGTTGACCCAATTAAGAGTGGATCATGTTGCTGCAATTTTGATTCTAATATGGAAACACTGCTACGATTATTTGCCATTGCACAGTGTCTCTTCGTTTGAGCTACGGACCCGCCCTTAAGGCCATGGGAAAATGGTCCACTGCCCCAGTGCAGACAAGAAGTAGGCCTGTATAAGTGAATTTGAGTACTCAACATATCAGACACCAGACACACTTGGTTGGACGAAAATTTAGCACGAGAAATAGAATCAGCCTCCTTTCTAACTGCTCGCAACGTTTGGTTGCTGAAAGGGAGAGAACAGCGCAGCAGCTATTGAAGAAATCTTCCTTCAAATGGCGGAGAGATGTTTCCTGCCACTGGTGGTGCGAAAGCTGTGTCCAGGAAGGGAAAAGGAGATAAACTTACGGAACTACCCATGGAGAAGCATAACAGATTTAAGAGGCATTTGTACCGGACATTTATTTGCATGCATTGAACATCAGAGTGTTCGCGTATTTTGATAAAGAGAACTTTTAATTATTCTTAGCATTTTCGTAGACTGAAATCATTTGCAAAGAACAATACAAATTTGCAAACAGCAGTTGTCCTCTAATTCAACGAAAATGTTTGCTACACAAAAATGTAACAACCAAAGAGAACAATTATAATCGCATCATTGAAAGGGGAGATGAAAAGGGAGGTCAGGGTGAATGGAATCCGAACCTTGAAGGCGAAAATTTCGCCTTCCAACGCACTATAAACCACCTGTTATCTATCTCCTCGATCACCGCTGAACTTCCGGCGCATATTCCCTCTTCTCCCTAAGTCTCAGCAGCCGGCGAGACTGCAGCACTGAACTCACTCACCCTTAGCGTTTCCTGGTCGTTCTCGGCCAAATAGCCCTAGGCACTTAATTTCACTCACCTCCAACACCTCTACGATCACCGGGAATGACTTCCTTTTATCCGTCAACTCTCTTATTCGCCGTCTACTCCTCCTCCACTTCCAACCCGATAGTTAAGAGAATAGCAGTTCTTCCTAGACTTCCAGAAACACACACACACACACACAACCAATAACGATTTCTCGCTTAAGAAATATACTAAAGTTTTAACATTTAACAAAGAATTAAAAAGAAAAAATTAATCTCCTTGTCTTTATGATTTTACCAAACATTTACTTAGATCTTTACAATCTTTTTACTTTAATTTATAATTTCTACTGTTACAAACATTAATCTTTATTGTCAAAATTTGTTAAGTTTTGTTAGTGAAACAAAATTACCAACTGCTAAGATGGCGAATAGAGAATGAATAATCTCTAACTCAATGTATATATAGATTAAATATATGTTTGATTTTTAATTTATCAAAAATTAATTTATTAAAAGTTTATTTAATAAAAGTAGTCAATTATCGTAACAAAATTTATATTTAAATATATTTTTTAAAAAATTTAACAAATTAAAAGTTATTTAAATCAATGATGATTCATGCTTTTAAAATAAACTTTTAAATATGTAATGATAAAAAGGAATATTAATTTATGATAATTTATAATTTTTATTATACAAATATAATATATTAGAAATGTTTTAAAAATGTGAAAAAATTTAATATGTTAAATTTACATGCTTATTTACATGGACTTCTTTTTATTTACATAATCTAACATTATAAAGCCAAATAGGTTTAATTTAAATTTAAAATAAAAATTAACATGATTAAAAACAAAAACGAAGAAAAAAAAAATAGCTTTCCCCATGCACCGTACATGAAAAAAAAAATTGTGGGTTAGAGTTCAGAGAAAAAGAGCAAAATTGTTAGGGAGAAGCAAAAGCTTTCAAGCAGCGCGTTACATTTTCTCAAGTCATTTGATAAGTCACATTTATTTCACATGTTTTTTTATTATTATTGACTAAAAATTATTTTATATTTATCTAAATTGCATCTTTATTGCATTTATTGTGAAAAATTACCTTAAATGTAGGATTCTATGCATTAAGGATATTTTGATCATAAAATTAAACTTTTCATAAAATTAGTCAAAATGCATTTTTAGTACAAAAGAATAATAGTCTAATTAGATTTCTCACATTCATCTTAGATTTAGAATAATTAATTTTACAAGTTAACTGTTTTTTAAAGTTAAAGTTTTGAGTTGACTTATTTTCTTACACTTGAACTAGGTCATTATTGTGCATATGTTAGTGTAATATAAGATAAAATATAATTAGGTTTAATTTAGAATATTAGAATTATCTAATAGAGATATTTAAATAAGGATATTAATATATTAGATTAGCTTTGATTATTTATTTTATTATTATCTTATAAATCAGTATCTTTAATATTGGATTTAGATTCAGAATTTGGGATTTGAATTTAAATTTTTATTATTTTATTATTTTTAAATTTCTATAAATAAAGTTAGATTTTTCATTTATATTCAGCTTTAAATATTATTGAATAATAATTTTTAAGAGTTTTGGCCTTCTACCTCCTTTTCTCTCTCTCCCCCCCCCCTTTCCTCTTTTTTCCCCTTCTTTTTTCCTTTTTTTCTCTTTTCTTTTGGAATACAAAAATTCATATCAATAAAAAATTGAAAAATTTCTCAAAATGTCACAAACGTATGAAGAAATTGCAAACCTCCAAGATCTAATGATAAGCAAACTTATGAAAGGTGATGAAGGCACTCCAGTCAATAACATTGAATAGTGAGTTCATTATACCTTGTTTGGACCTTTGAATTTTAATGAAATAGTTGTATTTTTTCAGTGAGATTTGTAACATCTTGATTTTTTAATTCTGAAACCAATTGCTAATTAATGGTAAATTAGTAATTAGTGAGTGATTAGAATTTTGGGTGATAATTTAGTGTTTTGACTCTTTGGAGTGTTAGATGAATAGATATGGGTAAAAAGGTCACATTTTGAAGTAAAGCGAATGCGTGTGGTGAAGAGTTTTCTCACTGTGCCATGCACCACAATGCACAGCACAAAAAAATGTTTAATATGGACATGGATGCTTGGGGTTTTTGAGGAGTAAAGGAAGAGAAATATAAGGAAGAAAGGAGAAAAGATTAGGGGTTAGCTAGGGCAAGCATTCTTGAGAGCTTGGGAGACTTTTCTAACCAATAGCTTATTAAATAAGTTTCATACTGCCCTTAGCTTCAATTCTACCCTACTTTCTCTTAGTATAAGTTATAGTGAAATTGAATTGAGGAATTTTAAGGAATTTGTTTCTTACCATTCGGTAATGAAAAGGTTCTCAGAAATTAAATTAAAGTTTTATAACTAGTTTGAAGCTAAACTATAAAATTTTGAGCCTATATGCTCAAATTGACCCTAAACTAATAGAGAAAAGGAATGGAGTTGTGAAAGAAGTGGATTAGAGTTGATGAAGTGATAGAAGGAGGTGATTAGATTACAATGAATTTGAATTGACTAAGTGTAAGGAAAAGAATAGCTAAATGTGTTTTTTAATAATAATTAGTACTTGTGATTAATTTGATTAATTGACTAAATAGTGCTAATCTTGTGTAGATTGTTGTGATACAAATGTTCTTTAAGAAAAGAAAGTGAGTAGGGATGTTACATATATAAGAAATCTATGAGTAACCCTTTCGTGTGACAAAAGAGTTAAGGTAACCTAATAACTTGCTCTATTTGATTATTTGGCTTAATTGTTTGTGAGTATGAATATTATTGTATGAAATTACATGATTATGTGACTATATATATACATACATATATGTGGAATTGTATACAAACAAGTAGTTTGTATATGAGCATGATCATAGGAGGGTGGGAGTTCACCTATAAAGAGAAGTAGTGAGAAGTTCATATGGCATTATTCTCCTTAGTGCCCGACAGTGTGTGGTGTTGGAGAATTTTATCGCCTTAGTACCCATTAAAGTGCAGTATTGGAGATTATTTCTTTAATGCTCATGTAGGGTAAGGTGTTGGAGATCAGAACTCCTTAATATCTGTGTGATGTGGTGTTAGAGTAATGACATTTCAATCATTGTGTGTGATAGAGGGAAATTGTAGTCTTAAAGTAGGACAAAATACCTTTAGCTAGGTGATTCTACCACAAAAAGTGTGCTCAGGTTAATGAGTGTATATTGGCTTAGTAAGAGCCTATGGTTTCAGTTAGGGTGATACAAAGGATTAGATGGTAGTTAATCATATTAGTGGTGATGAATTGTTGTGGAAATGGTTTTATGAAATGAAATTATACTATATGCTTATTTGAGTACATAAATGCAATACTTATTTATAGTTATTAGTGATAGTTAGTAGTAGCAAGTTATTCTTTAATGAGATGATTATTTTACCCTTATGGTTATATTTTTACAGTTTTTGATTGTGAGCTGAGCAAAGGGAAAGATTCTGAACGATGTAGTGGTGCTACCGTTGTGTGGTAAAGAGTTTGTGTAATGAACTTGTTTTATTGTGCATTTGTAAATGAAAGTTGCCATAGAAAATCATATGCATGTTTTACATTGTGGCAAGTGGTGATTTTGCATATCTTAACCTTATGTTTGTAAAGGTATGTCATATGTAGTGAATTATGCACTGTCGGGCTAAGATTTAGTATAAATATATAAGTAGTTATTATGTGGCAATATGTGACTCATAGCCCAAATTATGGTAGGAAAGGATTTGGGGTTAAGATTATGTTGTATAAAAGTATGTATATTTGAGTATGCTTGTAGTGATGATTTTGTGGTGAAATTGTGAATTGAATGACTAATAAGGTGCTTTTATGTAAGTTGTGGAAAATAGCCCTTTATGATGTAAAATGGGTAATTAGATGGCCAAATCTTGATGCATGTGTACATATGTTGTGAATGTTAGTTAATCAAGTGTAAATGGTCCTTTTGGACTTGGTTTTAAGCCCAAAATGGCCTAATGAGACAAAAGATGTGATTTGAACACTTTGGTACTTGAATTTTCAAAGAAAAGTAGCTCTTTGCACCTGAGTATCCAATTTTAGATTGGACCATTAAATTATGTCCAAACCTGTCTCATTAGTTAGCTTATGAAATAAGCTTCGTGTGGATAGTTTAATCACTCTAATTAGATGTCGTATATGAAAACGGCTCATTTGATATGTACTATCTAATGTATGATGATTTTCAAATAAATTTTCTCTAATTTTAGTTTGGTAGATTGATATGATGATTGAGTTAACTCCTTCTTATACCAAATTTGTGAGGGATTGAACTCACTATGCCACGTACCATGACGGAAGTTGCATCTAAGAAGAGAAAGTGGTGGAAAATGCATCTGAGAGGAGGAGGAGTCTATCTCTACTAGGACAACCATTACCCGGCTATTATGAGTCTGCTTTAGCTAGTAAATTGTTGGGTAAGTATCGTACAGACCTAAGCTTCATTTCTACCTCATTTTCATTGAATTTAATTAGTTGAGAAATCGAATCAAGAAGTTTTAAAGCGTTGGAATCTAAAAGAAAAGTTTAAAAAGGACTTTTGAATACAAAATTAAGATTTTGTAACTAGTTTGGAGTTAAATGGTTAATTTTTGAGAATTTAGGCTCAATAAGCATAAAGAGTTAGGTTGAAAATGGTGAAATTGGGTGAATAAATTAGTTAGGAAGTTGTTATGGTCATTTGAGTAGCCTATAGGGCCAATGACTATATATAGTGGACTTATGAATTCGAAAGGTATTAATTGAACCATTTTATGTGTTACGGGATTTAATTTAGCCAAATCAATGGCTATGTTGAGTATTAAGAATTGACTGAGGGGTACTACATTGTGTAGATTTAGCATCTGTGATATTGCTAATAGGAATCTACACTCTCGAGGATTCAATATGATTGGTAACCCTTAGTATAGTAAGGGTAAAAGGTAACTGGAGCAACCCTTTTACTTGTTTGTTTGTGAAATTATTTGCAAGTATATTATATAACTATGTGCACTCTGATTTATGAACTGATAAAGTAACAGGATTGTGAAAGTATATGTATGTGTATGTGTGAGTAATGTTTAAGATGTATGAGATGAGACATATACATAGACATACGCATTGT